TTCTTCGTCATTTAGTTCTCACTCATCGATCTAAGGGGGTGAGGAGTCACAATGTGGCCGCTATGAATTTACCGGAGTCAGCCTACCTAACTCCCATTTGCTCCCTAAAACATTTCGTAAGAGAACTCGATCATTCATGGTCAGAACCACATTCGACACAGTCATCCCCCCTCCCAATATTATTATGCAACAGAGGAGATATTAATAGCATCCATCTGGATACGAATTGTGCAACGTTTTTTACCTGTTTACTTTTAAAGTCTCTCAGGATGTCTCTGGACCTTACATTTGGTGCGTCTGTCCACAGTTATCTCAAGTGGAATGGCTTACCTTTTCGAAAAGTGAACATAGGTCAGCACTGTGACGAAGCTAACCAAAGCAGATGATTGCGTTCGAATGCTGAAATTTTCCGTAGCCACGGTGGAATTCGAACCCGTGTATGGAAGCCGCCAGTGCTTTTGTACAACGCACGCCCTACGAGGTCACACCGAGGGTTTGTACTCTTCGCTATTCAAACATAATATTTGACTCGGACAAAATATTTGAACAATCAGTAACCGATTTTTCTATCACTTACCTTTAATTAGTTTTGTCTGAAAGTAAGTTTAAATAAACAACAAAGGTAATCATTATATTACCACCCTTATTGGGACTGCATTATTGTGTTGGAAACAGGTTATAAATATCTGAATAATTTTAAACGTCTAGTCGTATACACTTACCAACTAATCAGTATATCAACCATGTTAAGTAATCTAACAAATCCCGCTTACGCAGTCCTTCAACAGAGGGGTTGGGTGTGGGGTGGAGATAGTCAATGACATAGCAACATGACCGGCTGCACACGGCAATGCCCTCGACTGAACAAGTATCCAAAGCCGTATTTTCCTCAAGTTTATCTTATCAATCTGCAAAAGAACACCTACAGGCCGTACGAATTTTACGATAGGTGTGATATCAGAGAGGTGGCAAGTAGAAAATGTGAAGGACTATCAAAACCAAATGAATGTCAATTTATGACAAATTAAAACCCTGTACACGTACATTATCATTCATGATTAAATGGAAATACAATGGCACACCTCAAATTAGGGACAACCCGGTCTGGACTAAACAATCGGTTCGACAACACAAGAGCAAACATGCCAGGAAAGCACTCTCTTGGAAATGGGAGGAATGTGATGTGGATATAGCGACAGGGCGGTGAGGACCAATCACAAGCATGGGATTGTGAGGTGACACCAAAGGTGGGTGTGGGGGGGGGAGGGCAACATATGGCAACTATAATCACGGTGTAATTGAGAGAATGGACAACGGACACGTGTAAGGTGTCTGGGGTGTTTAAACACACAAGATGGGTGGTAGCATGTGGGTCAAGAAATAACGGATTGCGAGAAAGAATGAACGGGGAAACCGGTAAGATAGTCATAGCGGGTGGGTGCTGTACAGATTACCACAATAATACGAGGCAGTTTTTACGCCGGGTGGAGATAGTTGATACGGATTATGGATAGAGCACAGAACGAGTGACAACAGTTACTACGACACAGTTCCATGTGGGGGGGGGAGATAATAGATTTCGGCGATAAGACGACATTTTCCACGAAACAGTTTCCATATTGAGTGGAGATTAATAGATTACGATAACAAATTGGACGAAGAACGGGTCACGACAATTAACACGGAAGTTGCTATTTCGGGGCAGTTAGGTAATCATACGGGAAATACGTAAAAGTATAAACTGAATGGTGTCATGGAAGGAGCGATCAAACGGGCAAAGGTCATCGAACTGGGAGTTGGTTAGGACCAAACAGAGTACAGGTAGTTCCGGTGTACGTACTTTCAATCAGACAATAAAGTATCTTACACTTAGTGCCGTTTATCAATGGTTGATCGAAAACGACATCGAATTCAATACATCAAGATGTACGGTCGTATCCCTTCGCCTCAAAACTCGGTTTCCTTACCTCTTGGGGATCGACCACTTCCGTATGTCTCGAAAGGGGAAGAATCTCTGTGTCATTGTTCACGACGACGAAAATTGTTTTTGGAACTGCTCTAGGGCGTCATCCACCACTGCCAGACATGTTTGTTTCCTAAAGCGAATGTTTGGCAAATCTGAACCCATGCTATCCGCAATTTTGTTATCAGCCCCATATAGAGAATGCGTGGATTCCATGGTTGCACTGCAATCGTAAGATTCTGGAAGTTCAACAAAAGTGATCAAGACTTGAGTGAAAAGACTGGAATCACTGGGATAGTAATCCACACAGTTTGGCGGAATTCGAAGGAACTTGTTTTTGGTGTTACACGGAAGGCCTGGAGGTGATCCCTGCAGTGTCTTGAATCCAACACATGTCGTGTTATCGTGCCTGATGGAAATGTTCTTCGTCGAAGTGTCAAGTGGCTTTAGCAGCTAGCTTAGGATAATGGTCACTAGATTGGTGCTCGGGTGAATTGCGCTCGTTGTTTACCGAAAAATTGCATATTGAAAACACTCACTAGGTTCCTCACTTCTCCGTATCAGCCGTCTCATTTGTCACTCCTTTGTCCGAAGATTACTTCTATACCAACCTACTGAAGAGGAAGGAAGAGAGAAAATCATTAGAACAGCCATGGATGAACACGAGGATAGCGCAAGTACTTCACAACGACTGTTGCGATTCAACCTTTGTATTACCGGCTCCAATAGTTTAGATGCCATCAACACTTTATGCGGTAGTTTGTTCCGGTTGGAAATCTCGTTTAAAGAACGTCTATTACAAAACTGTGCAAAATAAGAAATGATACTTGATGTGGTCAGTTTGTTAACTCAGAGAGAAAGTGAGAGCAGCACCGGCATTAGTTGAAAAAACTCATCCGAATAGACCATTGAGTTATACGGACTAAAGTGGTTCAATGTCTCATCTAATAGAGGGATTCTCCACGGTCTCTGTCCCTCTACTTCCGATGCAATTGGACCTCTGGGTGCAATCGATTCTATCACTGCTACTTCAAATGAATTAGATTTCTTACACATTTTGTTATCCCATGTGAATATAGCCCCCAGAACTGTGTACCACTTGATAGCACAGTGTCTAACAGAACACGGTATTGCATTACCCGACAGTTTTTCCCACTTATTCTTTTGTCAATGATCACTGTAGTATTTGTCATTATTTAATAAAATACTTTTGGCGTCTAAGACACCAAATATTGGAGCAAACGGGGTTACTCGTTCTGCTGTTCATCACGACATGAACAAAGGTTAAAAGAGAAAACCGAGTAGCCGTGGTTTCAGCAGAACTTTTAAAAAACTTGTTTCATACTGTTCCCCGCTAGATGTGAAAAATCTGTTTATGACAACCGTCACTATGGTCTCTGCGTTGTGAGTTGCGAGGCTACCCAGGTAGAATCGCATAATTCGATCGCACTGATTATGATTATGATGATGATGATGATGATGGTGGTGGTGGTGGTGGTGGTGGTGGTGGTGGTGGTGGTGG